TTACAGCAATTATTTCCTCCAAGGCATTTTATTGTCATGAAAATTAGACTGGTAGCTGCCTTACCATCTGGTGTGTCTCTCTCAATGTGGATACTCTACAGGTACTATTTCACAGGCCATTGCTAATAGGGGAACCAGAGGGCAGCTCTTGTGGTGCTGGGCTGCAGCTGCCTTCAGGGCATGTCTACACAGCAATCTTGGTGTAATCAGGCATGGTGACTGGTGTCACATAGGGCATTTTTTACGTGTGCAAGTGCCACAGCATTGGGCACGCTGAAAAGCATCCAGAGCTGTGATGCTTGCAGTTGTATAAATGGCGAAATGCACATCACCATGAAGAAAATGACAGCAGCGCACTTTTGAACTAAAACAGTTGGAGATGCATTTTCTCCATGCTGATGTGCATTTCGCCACTTATACAACTGCAACCAATGCAGCACAGTGCACGTCAGCTCCCGTGCAACAGATTTCCAGCATGTCTGAGAACTAAAAGGTACGTGCATAAATGCCTATAGAGACTACCTAGGTCAGGTACAAATGGCAGTCTAGTCTCAGCAGCGTGGAGCTAATTTACCCTGCTTTCTTGGGTGAGTTTTGCAACCTCCGCCTTGCTCCAGGCTGCTGTGTCTTGACTGAAACCATTGCTTGAGCTAGCTCAGATATCTCCACACTACACGAATCACTGCTGTGTAGACCAGTTGTTTTCAGCCTTTTTGCATTTGTAGACCTCAATTTTTGAATGGAGGTGCCAGACCCCTCTGGAAATTTCAAATGGAGGTGCAGACACCTTTGCATTGTAAGTGTGGGTATTCACATACATTTGATCGAACATAATCATCTTTTGTGGAGCTCTTAGACATAGTCTGCAGACCCCCAGGGGTCCACGGACCACAGGTTGAAAACTACTGGTATAGAAATACCTGTAATGTAGTGCTTTACAACTGGGGTTAGAAGGGTTAAATTCCACACCTCGTAGCTAGCTGGGCTAATTCTGCTTGCACTTGCCACCTTTCTATTAAGGCAAAATGAAAACCCAAAGCAGTGACCCAAACCAAACTTCCAGTTCAGAGGAACTGTTTTTCACTTTGAACCTTCTTAATCTATTTTCATGTCCATCTAAAGTTCCAATTTGGTTGGTAATGCTTTTCCACTACAATTTTAGTGTGAAAATACTCTGGGCCTATACAGGTGCATTCTTTGCATCTGGTGGATAACCACTCTTGCCTTTTTGGTTTAGTAGAAGCCAGTGTCAAACTAGGGTACTAATAAAACTGATGTTTTTTAAATCAGTGAGAATATTTGGAGTCAGCTTCAGCTTGTTAGGTGTGGGTATAACTGAATGGAGTATGGTTGCACAGTGAAGGTCAAGAGCAGTACTGGAGTTGCAGAACCATCTCTTGCTGGTGAACATGCATGGTGCAAAGTACCTGGTCTGACTTTCAGGGCACGTCCAGATGAGCACCACACAACACATGCAGGCATTGCCTGCACTGCAACTTTGCAGCCTTGGGGGCTGGGGGAGTTGACTCTGGGAAATCCCAGGGTAAAAAACCCCACACCAACAAAGAAGCAGGGTGGTGCATGTGGCTGCAGCATGTGCCGCCAAAAAACAGCCTGGCTGCCTGGAGCCATGCTCTGGCTGCTGGCCAGGCTTCCTACTAGGGCTGCAGCTCCCTGAAGCCCCCAGGACCCCAGGTAAGGCTGATGGGGCCAGCACAGTTTCAGATGTGCTGCTGCTACTTGTCCCTAGGGAAACAAGTGTCCATGCTCCTCTGGATGTGCCCTCAGTTCCCAGGCTGAATCTGTAACTTGACAAAACTATCTTGATCTGGTGTTGAAGAGGTGGTGAGGCCAGACTCCAGGAATACCATTTCTAGAATAATTCTATAAATTACTGCAGTATGATTTGCTTCAGGCCTGATGAGCCATGGATACTTCCTTTTTAAAAAAAAGTCACAGGGAGCAACATAGAAATGAAAACAAAATTGTCACCCTGCACTATAACATAGTACAAACTTGATGTGACTTTAATTGGTGTAACTGGTATATCTTACAAGGAATATGTTTGTGTCAACATTCAATATCAAATTGTCTCTGCTTTCCAGGTATTTAATGCTCTTATCTTTTTCTTTCGCATACCCAGTCTCTCAATAAAAATAACCTCAGTCCACAAGTTTGGCATTGGCTCTGCCATCTATGGCATTTTTATTTAAAAAATTGCAGTCTTACCATTACATTCATTTGCCATAAAGCTAAAGTAAAAGGTATATCTGTGCAAATTACCACCCTAGCAAGTTATGAACCCTCCACCCCTGTGGGTTAGGAGGAACGTATAGGTTCAGAGGTGTGGATGAGCCCACAGGCAAATAGGAAGGAGGAGAACTAATAAATAGATAACTCGGCTGGAACTAAGGAAGTCTCAGAGACTTCCTTTACACAGCAAGTCCTTACTGTTGTATTCTGGTACTTCATCAGGTGTGGTTGTCTCCCATCATTTAATTTTTTTTGGTGTACACATTGTATATATAGACTTGGAGTGAGTTAGAAATGGCTTGTCTAGACTCCTGTATGTGGTACTGCTCATGATATGTGTGACAGACTGTGCCACTTTGGTTGAAACATTGCCATTACCACATTTCAAGCTACAGATAGAAATAATTTTCTACTATTTAAAAAATGCCCAGGTGTGGTAAGAGCTATTTCAATTTAACTGGAACTTCTATAGTGGTGGAAATGGAGTTGAAGCATTATAACTTTGAACCTGAATGAAGTCAGTTTAAGGATACAGTAGTTTAATCCTGTTTATATTAGTGCAGGAATGAACAGATATAACAATTATAAATTAATACTGATAACACAGTTATGTCTGTCTACACCTTTGTAAAAATACTGGGCCAGGGTACCAATACCCTATTAAAAGCACAGTGCAGACTCCTCCTTTTAATGTCTCACAACTGAAATGAGTAAGTTCTTCCCTGACCCACCTTATTTTCCCAATTTGATCTTAAAGACCATTAGGTGCATTAGGTTTGTTCTGAGCTCCTTTGAACCTTCTCTACATGTGTTAATCCCCAACCTTTCTTCAAGTAAGTCTAGAGACTTGTTCTACCCTTTACTTAAATTAAGCACTGGCTTTTTAGCAATTTTAGCCTATGATGTGCTGACTTCTGCAGTGAAAATAAACCTCTGGTAGTTGCCATCTGTTATATCCAAGCCTTGATCTTAAGCGATTCGTTTTCTTGCCACAGGATTTACAAGATAGAAAAAAGACAGTGACCAGGTAATACACAGAAACACAACTGGATGTCAGTAGCATAACCAACTGGAAAATATTGAACGCTAGGAATATTAAAAATGGAAATCCATCGTAATCTTTATGGATGCTGAGCCAAGACAAGGGAGTGTGGTATAGTGGTCAGAACACACAAATTATATTCTTAGCCTGTCACTTGTATATGGACAGCCTCTCATTTTTCTGTAAACTTGTGGTAATTATGCTTGAGCTGTTTCAGAGGGTGTTTGTGAAACTCAATTACCATTCCTAAAATAATACATGTGGTTTATCTGAGGTTGCAAATATACAAAGTACTGTAGCCTGGGACTTCACAGTATAACAATAGTAGCCCTAGCTAATGGTACAAAGCAATATTGGCCTCTTTTTCATCTGGCCAAGTCAATAAGGGAAACTTGCTGTTGTTTCCCATAGTACTAAAATACATTGCACTTACATAGATCCATTCAGCTGTGTGTGACAAAGCAGTTTAGATGCTAAGAGGGGAACTTCACTGCCTCCCTGGTGTTTCTGTGGAGCACTGATTTTCAGACATGACCTCCCTCCCTCCCATTCATACATGTCAAACCTGGGAATGAGACTGTGAAGGTACTTTGGAGGGTGTCTCGTGTGGTGACTCAAGCAAACTGGAGACAGAGGTCTCAAGACATATCTTAAGCCCCCCAATACCACCTTTGCATTATGGTAGATAAGTATCCTCCCCATGTAATTGCTGAAGATACAGAAGACCTTATAGTTCTAAGGGTTTACTAAATTTCAGCCCTCCTGATTCACAGATTCACAGATTGTAAGGCTGGAAGGGACCTTGGAAGATCATCGGGTCCAGCCCCTTGCACCAGGCAGGAAAGACAACTGGGGTATGGTGACCCCAGCAAGATAACTATCCCATCTCCTCTTGAAGATTTCCAAGGGAGGTGATTGCACAACCTCTGGAGGGAGCTTATTCCACAGTCTGTACACCTTGACTGTGAAGAATTTTTTTCCTAATGTTGAGCCTGAAACGGCCATTACTCCTGGTTCTCCCCAAGGGCGCCCTGGTGACCAGTTGTTCACCGAGCCCCTGATGTACTCCCCTGACGTAGTGGTAAACTGCTGCCAAGTCCCCTCTCAGCCTTTTCTTTTTCAGGCTGAAGAGTCCCAGGTCCCTCAGCCTTTCCTTGTATGGCTTGCCGTGCAAGTCGCTAATCATACAGGTGGCCCTTCTCTGGACTCTCTGAAGTTTTACCACATCCTTGTTAAAGTGCAGCACCCAGAACTGGATGCAGTACTCCGGTTGGGGTCTCACCAGAGGTTACCAGGCTTAAGTCACCCAAGGACTCTGAGGCAGGCCAGTCTTTTTGTTCCATGTCTGTACAGCATCTACCACAATGGGCCCTGGTGCAGGATGGGGGAGTCTTGGTGGTACTGCATTATAAATTCATAGTACCTCCTGGTCTTTTGTTGATGAGTCATGTACATGGAAAAGACATCTTGCCAACAGCAGGACAACTGCATATCTCATTCTAGAAAATTAACATCACTCTTGTAAAATGTCCCAAGCACACAGGAGGTCATCTATGGCTTCTGTTTGACATAAGAATGTGATAGCTACAAAGTAAGTTCCCATACCACCTTAGATTTTCAGAAGCAATGACATTTGTGTGCTGTCTGTTGGTACAATAGAAATCTATGTTTATTCACCGCTATTCCCTGGATAAGCTAATACACATTAACCTAATTACACTGTGCACTAGCTTAAAAAAATACTGAGCTGAAAAATCAGCGTTTTGAGAGTCATTGTTCTGTCAGATCAAAAGCTCTAAGGGGAAACACTAATGTGTATTAAAGCAAATTTTGATCTTGTCATAAATCAACCCATCTGGCTTTGTTTACTTGCAGCAGCAGTAAATTTGTAAGCAGAAACTCAGGATTAAAACAACTTCATTATAGTTTAGCAAATGACCTTTTAAATGATAAAAATAAAACTGTAAGCAAAGCAACAATGTCTGTAGCAGATGACAATAATTCTGTCTCATTTTGCAAAAGCAGGCACTCAATGTATGTTTCCTTAGCACAGGGGAGGTCTATTGAGTTTCTTTTATGTAATACAAACACACATCCAGACTTCTGCACACGAATGGGAGGAAATGAGGGGAAGGAGAGGTGAGAGTGAGCGGTGGTTAGACTGGTCTGTGTATTTGCTGCAAGGAGCCACAGCTTATTAAACCTTATGGGTAGGGTTTTCAAAGCAAAGCAGTGTAGGAAACTCTTTCAGTGAAAAGTGCACGTAAATTGCCTGGAGTGCTGAATACCTCAGCCACAGGTCTTAATTTTAGGTCTAATTCTGCAGTCCTTACTCCTGTTAAATAGGACTTGCTCAAGTAGCCAAAACTAAGAGCTAGCTTCTGTGGCTGGTCTATTTTGGGTATAGTAGCTTTCTTTACTAGCAACAGACAGCTCAGAGTAAATGGTATTTTGGGTGCAAAAGTTTCATGTATCATTTTGACAGCAGGAAGAATGCCCAGGCCTCTCTTATCTGCTCCTAACACTTTCAGAGGAAACATTCCCAGCCCCAATAGCAGTTCTTCCACATGACTTTGTTGTAGCAGAGGTGAGTCCCTATGTCATTTCATCCTGTTTATCTTGAATCCTCCACTTCACAGCATAACACATCAGAGTGAAAACAGGCTGAACACCATGGTTTAGGTGGTGGATTCAAGCTTCATTTAGATTTTAATTGGAACTCAAAATGAGACACCCTGGTAAGGACAAACAGTAAAAGCATCAGGTTCTGGCATTAACCTGCTGAGAGCTTCCTTTTTTATCTTTCCCTTCCCTCTGGATAATTTCTGTTAAAACCTTTCATAAGAAGCCAATGTACAGCACAGCAGAGTTCTGACCACAGTCCCAGCAGCTATGGAGAGACAGGGAAGATTAAAGGAGAATCAAAGGCACACAAGCCATGCAGATGGAAACCCTCCAGAGATAATTTCCCTTTTCCCTTGCTGAGATTTAATAGAGCTTCTTACATAAAAGGAAAAAAAGAAAAAAAAAAGCCTTCCAAATGTATTGTGCACGTGAAGTAACTGCCTGTGGCTGAGAGACAATAACTACAGTCTGTCAGCTTCGCTTTGGTCTCATTTTGGGTGTGATTCAGCACATAGGCTTCTCTTAGAATTATGATCCATTGTGCAACAGAGGAAGAAGCAGAAGAAGAACATGGCATGGAACTGGATCATTTTAGTGATAACTAAAATCAGGCGGCGGTTGTTTTATGGAGTAAGCACTTATAAATAACAACATTGATTTCTTGTCTGTCCACATTCCTCTACTAAGAGTCATCATAAAGAGGGTTGTTGTAGTTTCCCCAAGATCCATAATCATGATCATCCAAAAGCCGTCCATATGAGGAGTGCCTGTGAGGGAGGGGGAAAGAGATCAGATAGTTTATTCAGAGTTGGTTCAAAAACGGCTAGGACCCCACAACAACAAATTCATTGGGGCACTCCTCTGTGGAAAGCAGGTCAACACTGCTATAAAGAGTGAAGTGCATTCTCTTAAGACTGTTATCCATAAGTAGCCTTAGGGAACTTAATTCCAGAGCAAGAGTAAGGTGATTGTGTTTGCATTCAGATAAATGTTCTGGTAGAGTTTTGGTGCTGATTCAATGACAGCTAAATCCCTTGAGTCTCTGCTCCAGGTGGCTACAACTGTTTGAGATCAGCTAGTTTGGGGACAGTGAGAAGTGGAATACCAGCTGATTAAGTAAAATTTTTGCTTGGTCCAGTTCGGAGCATACTTAAAACACAGCAATATCTTACCTCTGCTGTAACATGGGTCTGTGCTCTAGTAAGGTCAGCGGACTCTGATGATTTATTGTAGTACTGCCTGGCCACTGAATCCATTAGTTCCCCCCTTCCCTCTCCCTTGGATTCAGTGGGACCAGTGTCTTATGGTTTCTCATTCCAGTTTGTGATTAGTGATTTTTCTACTGAGTTTGACTTTAGCAGGTAGTCTTTAGTTTTTATGCTATAGTATCATGTGCTTTTATGCTCAGATAACATAGTGCCTCTGGATTTAGTATTTAATATATTAATGCTCCTGATTTATAATAGGATTGGTTGTTCTAGCTTAATTTTTTTAGTGGTTTCTGGCTTAAATTTCAATATTCTGAGAAAATAATTCAAGTCTTCTAACACTTTGCAACAAAGCAAGAAATGGGGCAGGAATGAAGGCTGGCAGAATACCTACAAGGAACCTTCCATGAGTGCTCATTCAGTCTTGAAATGAATTTGCTTTGACATATCCCTTATCTGAACACTTGGTCATGTACATTTTCTGGCAGGAACATTTGTAAAACTATTGATTTAAAGTAAGTACTGGAGAATATTTGCAGCCAACAAGTTTTGTGCATGTGCATGGAAGCGTACATAAAATGAACATGCACACTTTTATATTGCCTCTGTTGACAAGCTTGGCTGTGGAGTGGAGGCTGGCATGGGGCCCAGTGCTTGTACAAGGTGGGGGGGAGAACTTGCTGTGTGTTGATGTTTTTCTGCTAGGAGTGTTCATTAAAAAAAAGACCAAAAAAACCTCAGCAGTCAGGACCCTGTTGTTTTTGCTGTTTTTGTATTTTAATGGAATACAATTTGTACTGGCAAATTCGACATAAATTTTGATGCCAGAATATGTACCTGGAACTTCATTTTGAAATACCCTTTGATCATCTAAAACGTCAGGTAATTTCACCTAGCATTTTAAAATGTTCTCAAAGGGGCTCCTGGGACTCCCTTGCTTCCCCCCCCACCCCTCTAGTTTCTCCCTCCCCCTCCCCCCTTCATATTTCATTCAGTTAATTCGTGGAACTTTTTCTTTCCTGTAGCAAAACATGCCATTATTGTAAGCTACTTCACTCATCAGCCACATTTAAAAACTACTCTAGTAAAAAATAAAGCCAAGTGCATGACTTGTATGAAATAAATTCTTGTGGTTGACTGCATCCATTAAAACAAGACCTTTTATTTTTATAGCAAAAGCAGACGTTGTCTTTTGACTTGCTAACACACTTCTTACAGTACCCATCCATAACACTAGTAATAACTAAAAATGTCTCAAGCCAGAGTTCTGTCCCCTTCTGAACTGGGATGAGCCACTATAAGTCATGATAACAAAAACTTCGCTTACTTCAGCCATCAATTAAACCTAATTAAAGAGGTACAAGGTAAGTACCAATTTGGTTATTTTAAAGTCACAAAAAGCACTCTGAGAAATGCTTGCCTTGGGGATAATTGCTGTTTATGAGCACAGGTGGAAGTCGCGTCTCTGGTGTTTTGAGTGAGCTGTGGTCAATTAATGAGGAAAGGCACCGCCTTTCCATACCAAAGCTATATATGATAGGATTTATGTAGTCGCATCACGCTCCCAGCTGCTTTCTACTTGATCAATCAAGGAACCTTTCTGTGAATACCACTGAACTCAAATGTGTGAGACTAAAAGAAATGGGGGGACTCCTTTTCCCCCCATTTCTGGGAATATGTACCTGTGTCCACTGGGTAATGGAGCTTGAATTTTAGTGAGCTCAGGAATGGAAAATTCATTCATGGGCTTCATGAAGTGAGCCAGTTCTCTTGTCAGTAGCCAAGTATGGATATTAGTACTACTTCTACTGCTGGAACTCAGAAACCTCTTTGTTTGGTAGCTAAAATGCGCTTCCACCCCTAGATCTAAGCTCCTCATGGTTTGGGGCACAGTGAGGGACCCACAGGAGCAAGTCTGCATTGCTGTTGCCTGACAAGTACTGCCAGGAATGGGGGACCTGGCTAGTCAGGGCTGTCAAGTTTACACTGAAATCTCTACTGAGGGGTGTGGGTGGAGGGGAGGAAATCCAGGCCTGACAGTGGTATCCTGGGGAAGAGCTGTGGTATACAAAGGGAAGAGCTGCCAGTACTGTTGCATGATGGGAGGAGGCATACACATCCCACTGACAGTTCTGAGAGCTAGCAGGGTGGAAGGGGAGAATATATTTCAACTTGAATTCCAGCAGCTGAACTGCTTTCAGGGAACTTGTCAGTATACCGAGAAGATGCTTACCTGATCTTCAGGTATGCTGCTGCCCCAAACACCAGCAGTACCACAGCAATGACAGTCACTGTAATGGCTGCAATGCTACCTGCAGATGAGGACAGGGAAAGAACAGAAGCGAAAAAGAAAGACACTGGGTTTCTTAGTAAAGTAAACATTAAACCCTACCCACTTCCCACTGCGTGCTTCCCAGCAGATGGGGTTTGTACTTTGCCTTCATGCATGTGGAATGTGGCACTTCGCTCTTCAGCACAGAGGCTCTACAGAGCGGGAGACAGAGAGCTAGCTCACTCATTGCTCGCGGTATGTACTGAGATGCTATACATACTCAGTCTAACAGCTAAAAGTCTCTTTGTGCTTATAACTGAGGCCTTGGTGGGAGCTGGATTATATAACCTGCACCGTGGAACAGTCTTGAAAGAGACCGCCCCTCAGTTTAGACCAACGGTTCTCAAATTTTTTTAGACTTAAGGCACCCCATTCCAAAAACTAAGTTATTTACTGCAGTGCTTACCTCCCTGCCTGACTGCTCCCTCACCCCACTGCCTGGCTCCTCTGCAAGAAGGAGCCTAGGTCCATCTTCTCACCCCTCCTAGGACCCTTCAAAGATCTCTTGGCAGCCCAGGGTGCTGCAACACTCCAGTCGAGAATCACTGGCCTAGACCCTCCTGTCCCTTCCCAGCCTTTCTGTTTTCATTACTAGTTCTACCCCACTTTTGTTAAACACTTTACCTTCTCCTCTGCTGACATCAGACAAACTGACCAATGAGCCTCCCCCTATAAATTGGGAGTGATCCCACTGCAATTTGGAGCCACACTCACATTTGGCCTGAAGAATGAGACTGGGCCAAAAAAGCAGATTATCTTCCACATTTAAACACTAAAATAAGTGGTCAGCCTTTTAAACAGGCCATGTTGAGTGTGGAGCCCTCTGTGCCCTCACTGGAGCTGCTACATGCTATGGATTTAGGAAAATATGGCACTTGCTTTATGAGAAATGAGCTTTTTCAAAAGTCACTCCCTAATTGTTAGGTGCAGGGTCTCTAGCAATCTGTCTCTGACTGTTCAGTTACACCCTTGAAAGCTCTCCTGGGATTGTACTTTTGAGTGGGGTTATGAGCGGCTGAGGGTTCACCCCTGTGGGAACGATCCACTGGCGATGGAGCGTGTGCTGTGCCTTTTCACGGCTGGGTTACAGTGTGCCGGTGGCATTTTTACAAGAGTGACTAAGCAGGTTTATTGATGGGGCAGGGTGTGACTGAACTGAGCGAGGCTTGTTCACCGACAGGGTACACTTGCTGCTGTTCAGGTGCTGCCCTCAGCATTAACCTTTCTCATTTAAATTTCCCAGGGGGAAGAAGAGGGAAAAATTCACAATTCCCTTTCACTTGCAGGCTAATTCCTAAGTCACAAATGCCTGAGCTCTATGGCTGTGCAGGCTTATTCTGCAGACTGCAGGGACTTCCCAATAATTTTTCAATACCTTTCTTTAGCAGTCCCTCAGACTGTACCTCTAATATTTCACAAACTCCCTCCTGCAGCCTCTGTCATGGAGTCTGCATGATAAGTGTCTCTTCAAGGCTTTTCTTGGCTGAATGGGAATGTTTGTACTAACCCTCAAATGAGGTCTTTGCTTCTTATGGTTTTGTTGGTTTGGTATGGCAACATCTACCATGGGAGAGTGGGGAGAAGGGACATAGATCCAGTCCTCCCAAATTCTCCAATTTGCTTTGCAACAGGCAGATATATGAGATGAGTTGAACAAGATTATTTCTTTTTTATCACGACCCTTTTGTAAAAGTAGCAGAATAGATTTGGATAAAATAAATATAGGACGCCCTAGTTTACTTTGAGAAAATGTTTCTTTCTCAAACAAGGACCCTGGGTTCTGCAGGTCACAATCCTACAGAGCAGGAAAATGCAAAGTTTCTGCTTTTTTACTACTTTTTAGGTATGTCTCAAGTGACACAGCTTTGGAACTCAACCTCATTGCTCGCCCTGCCCTGAGCCATCCAAATGCCAGGAAAGGTGACTAGACCAAAAAGGTGTCTAGTCTCCTCAAGAGGAGCAGCTGCTTTGCAGGACAGTGTTCAGTGGATTTTGCTGATACATGAATGCAGTACAGTGCTTATACAGCATGTCTGACAAAGACTCCACTAGTTGAGGAGGTTTGCCCTTAAACTGCACACAATTAGGCTTTGTATAAGGAATTACTCAAGCAATAAGTGATTTGAGGTGCCCATTTCAAGGCAGCTGAAAGGCCTCGAAATGTCTGGCCTTCAAATTGATTTCAAGGGGGTGTGATAACAGCACTGTCAGACTGGGCACCCATAATGCACTAGTTTAGTTCTGAGAATCGTGGCCTAAATACTGTGAACATGACTTGGTTCTGCAGAGTTCTGCTACAAGTTTTTAAATCTGCTGGCCCCTTCTTGAACTCCTCTCTGCCTCCCCACCCTTCCTCCCAAAGTATTATTTCTTTTCCATCTATCTCTAGAGTCCCCTCTAAAGCTCCTCTGTCCCTTCTTTCCTAATGTTTGGGACACAGCAGGACTAAGACTCCTCATCTGATGATATAGGAGCAGGCTTCTGTTGCCTCTTCTGGATGGGCTGGTGGCTATGGGCATGGAATTCTTTTTGGACTTGAAGGCCAAGGCAGAGCAAGGGTATATTTTAAGTCTCTTGCAATAAATAGAGCTGACAAAGTTTGCTAGTGCTACTGATAGTATGCTGAGCTAGATGTCCCCTTTAAATGGGGAAAGAAATACACTTGTTAAGAATAACCAAAGTTCTCTTTATCAATAACAGGCTGCTTTCTTATCGTACTCCAAGAGCCACATTTATTTTAGCACCACCAGATTACAAATTCCACTGCCATATGCCTCTTTCAAAACAAAGTGCCTCCCTCTTTCACTGAAATCACAGGGGCAATACAACTGCTTGGTTTTGCTCATAGGATCATAGGAAAGTAGAATTGGAAGGGACCTCACAAGGTCATTTAGACCAGCTCCCTGCTCAAGGCAGGGTCATCTCTTACTAAATCATCCCAGCCAGCGTCTGCTTAATCTGCTTTTGAAACTTTCCAAGCACGGAGATTCCACAAATTCTCTAGGTAGCCTGTTCCAATGCCTGACCCCTCATAGTCAGAAACTTCCTCTTAATCCTCTAGCCTAAATGTCCCCTGCTGCAGCTTGATGCTGTTATTCCTAGTCCTGTCCTTTACAGGCATATCCATCCTCTCTATAATCACTCTTCAGGTATTTGAAGACTGTTATCAAATCATCCCTTAGTCTTCTCTTCTCCAGGCTAAATAACCCTAGTTCTTTCAGCCTTCCCTCATAAAACTTGCCTCCAAGGCCCTTAATCATTTTTGTTGCACTGCACTGGACTCTTTTTCCAAACTGTCCCTATCTTTATTGAAGTGTGGGGCCCAAAACTGGACACAATACTCCAGGTATGGCTTCACCAGCGTTGAATACAGCAGAAGAATCACTTACCTGGATTTGCAAAAAATATTCCTATTAATACAACCCATGATGCTATTGAATTTTTTTTCCAACAAGAACACACTGTTGGCGTATATTCAGCTTACAGTTCATTACCATAACCCTCAAGTCCTTCCCTGCAGTACAGCAACCAAGCCAGTCATTCCCCAGTCTATATTTGTGCATGTTCTTATTCGAAGTGCAGGATTTTGCATTTGTCTTTGTTGAATCTCATCTGGTTGATTATTGATCATTTTTCCAGTCTATCCCGGTCATTCTGGATCCTAGCCCTGACCTCTAGAGTGTTCACAGGTCCACCCAAATTGCTGTCATCTGCAAATTTGCTAACAATGAACTTTACCCCATCATCTAAATCATTGTTAGGGAAGCAATGAGTTATTTTTATTTTCTTTTCCTACCCATACAGGGCATGTGCCCACTGCAGTGACATACAGCAGTTAAGGCCAGTTTCATGGTTTATTGCTGCAACAGGGGGCCTTCTCGGGGCCGATTTGCTTTTGGCCTGCCCACCTGTTTCTGGGCCAACTGCCTGCCTATCTCGTCTGCCATGCCTTGTTGCTAATTAATTAATGATCTTAATTAGGCAGGAGGCTGCCCATTTCTTGCCCCCATGCCAGGGGGCACTATCTGCAGCTCCGTACCTTCC